GAACACAAAAGAAGACCTGTTAGCAATGAAGAGCGGACTAGCAACTGTACCGAACTTGTGAAAAGTATTCTTGCAGAGGGATATGACAAGGGATGAGAGAATGAGGGCAGAAGATGCACGGAGGGAACACAGAGAGAAAAAAAGAAGTCAGGGAACCACAACCCCAAACCATACAATCCCAGAGGGGAGTGGGGAACCCTCCACAAGAAGTTCAAAAGCAATAGGGAGAGGAGCACCTCCAACACTTTCCATTCAATAGACATCCTACCTGCCCCCCATTAAGTGGCCACTTAGAGCATCCTCCCCCCACTCACCCCCCTCCCCAGGACCTCCCTTCTCTCAACCCCCTAAGCCCTCCTTTGTCCTCCATGCCCTCCCATCTCCCCCACCCCCTCAAACCCTCTGTTTTCCCCCACCCCCCTAAGCCCACCATTCTCCGCCACCCCCTAAGCCCTCCATTCTCCCTAGCTCCCCCCTTCTTCCCCACTCCCCTAAGCCCTCCCTTCTTCCTCATCATCTCAGCTCTCTACATCCCATTAAGATTTCAACTCAACAGAGCCCATCCCTGAAGCTATGCTTAAATAATCATCCCGAGCAACACTTAGTGGGCCAGCCAGAGGCTTAGGGCCCGCACATCCCTGCCCAGCTCTGCCCTCCCTTCTTCTGCACCCCAAGGCTCCCCTTCTCCTTCATCCCCTCAAGCTCTCCTTTCCCCATACCCCTCTCACCCCCAAGCCTCCTCCTCTAACCCACTCCCCTGATCCTCCCCCTCTCACCCTCCTCCCCATGCCCTCTCTTTTCCCTCCACCCCACAACCCATCTCTCCTCCACCACCCTCCCCGTACCAGATCCTCCCAACTCCCAAATACCCCAAATCTCCCAGGTCTCCGTTCTTAGGCAAATGAACCTAGGGTCATCCTGGACCCTCCCTGTTTCCCTGCTCCAGAAGAATCAACAGGAACTGAGGAAGGACAGAAGAGAGTCAGTTTCAGGGTGATGTATGCAGACATAGATGGAATTACAAGCAAGGCAAGTGAACTAAGGGAAATAGCACAAGAAGTGAACCCAGATGTAATTGGACTCACAGAAACAAAACTCTCAGGAATTGTAATGAATGCAGTGTTTCCCCAGGATTACACAATAATAAGGAAAGAGAGGGAATTTAGGGGAGGAGCCAGAGTGGCCCTACTAATGAGAAAGGAATGGAGTTTCAAGGAGATGGCTATCCCAGGCTGCGAGGGATTCAGAGACTATATAGCAGGCACCATGAGAATGGGAGGACCAAGAATAATAGTAGCAGTGATATATAACCCTCCACTCAATGACAGAAGACCCAGGCAAGAGTATGACAACAACAAAATGGCAGTTTACATTATAATTGAGAGGGCAGCCTCTGCTACTTGTAGAAATAGATCCCATCTGCTCATCATGGGGGACTTCAGTCATGGAAGGATAGACTGGAAGAACAAGGAACTGCATGGAGGTGAGGATACATGGAAAGCTTAACTAGTGGAGGTGGCGACAAGAAACGTCTTAAGCCAGCATGTCAGGGAACCCACAAGGATGAGAGGAAACGTTGAACCAGCGAGACTTGACCTAGTCTTCACTCTGAACGACTCCGACATAAGGAATATCGGTTTCTAGGCCCCGGTAGGAATGAGCGACCACAGTGTGCTGACGTTTGAGTAACTGGTTGAAGAAGGGTTAAGGAACTCGAGGAGGGGAACTGAAAACAAATGGATGGCATTCCGAAAGGGAAACTATGAGGAGATAAGGAAATTCCTAACATATACAACATGGGAAACAGAGCTCAGAGGAAAAACGGCCCAAGACATGATGGACTATATCAAGCAGAAGTGTAAGGAGGCAGCAGACAAGTTTGTTCTGGTCCAAAAGGAAAACAACGAAATGCAGATGAGAAACCCATGGTTTAATCAGAGATGTAGGCTAGCTAAGCAGCAAAGTAAAAGGGCTTGGAGAAACTATAGAAATAACAGGACACTCGAGAGCAGAGAAAGATACCAGAGTGCCAGGAATGAATATGTCAGGTTGAGAAGAGAGGCAGAAGGGCAATACGAAAATGACATTGCAAGCAAGGCAAAGACTCAACCTAAATTGCTGCACAGCCACATCAGGAGAAAAACAACAGTAAAGGAACAGGTAATGAAATTGAGGATAGGGGCAGACAGATTCACTACAAACGACAAGGAAGTGTGCGAGGAACTGAATAAAAAATTCCAGGTCTTCACATTAGAGAAAGGGGAAGTTGCGGAGATAAGAATAGTAAACCAGGAACCACTAGAAGAGTTTGAGATTACCAGTGGGGATGTAAGGAAGCTCTTGCTAGAGTTGGATGTGACAAAGGCTATAGGCCCGGATGGAATCTCCCCATGGATACTAAAGGAAGGAGCAGAAGCACTGTGCCTGCCACTCTCCATAGTGTATAACAAATCACTGGTAACAGGGGAATTGCCAAAAATTCGGAAGACTGCTAATGTAGTCCTGATATACAAGAAGGGGGATAGACAGGAAGCACTGAACTACAGGCCAGTGTCCCTAACTTGCATACCATGCAAGCTGATGGAGAAGATTGTGCGAAAAAAGCTTGTGGAACATCTGGAGTGAAAGAACTTTGTAACACATCATCAACATGGGTTCAGGGATGGCAAGTCCTGCCTCACAGGATTAATTGAATTCTATGACCAGGCAACAAAATCAGGCAAGAAAGAGAGGGGTGGGCAGACTGCATATTTTTGGATTGCCAGAAAGCCTTTGACACAGTACCACACAAGAGGCTAGTGAAAAAGCTGGAGATGCAGGCAGAAGTGAAAAGAAAGGTACTCCATTGAATAAGGGAGTACCTAAGCAACAGAAGATAGCGAATCACTGTGAGGGGTGAGGCCTCAGATTGGTGAGAAATCACCAGTGGAGTCCCGCAGGGTTCAATCCTTCGATCTATACTGTTTCTGATATATGTAAATGATCTCTCACATGGAATGGAATCATTCCTCTCACTTTTGCTGATGACGCAAAGATTATGGGGAAGATTAAAACAGAGGATGATAGTAGGTGGCTACAAGATGACCTAGATTGACTGACTGAATGGTTCAACAAATGGCTACTAAAGTTCAACCCGAGTAAATGCAAGGTCATGAAACTAGGAGGTGAAAACAGGAGGCCAAATACAGGATTCCGAATGGGAAATGAAGTACTTCATGAAACGGACAGAGAGAAAGATTTAAGAGTTGATATCACCCCAAACCTGTCTCCTAAAGCCCACATTAAAAGAATTACATCTGCGGCATATGCGACGCTGGCTAACATCAAAACGGCGTTCAGGAACCTGTGTAAGGAATCATTCAGAACCTCGTACATAGCATATGTAAGACCAATGTAGTATGCGGCCCCAGCATGGAGCCCGTACCTTGTCAAGCACAAGACGAAGCTGGAAAAAGTTTAGATGTATGTAACTAGACTAGTCCCAGAACAAAAAGGCATGAGTTACGAGAATAGGCTGCGTGAAATGCACCTCACGACACTGGAAGACAGAATAGCAAGAGGAGACATGAACACTACCTACAAAAATCTCATAGGAATTGACAGGGTAGATAAAGATAAACTTTTTAACACGGGTGGTATGCGAACAAGGGGACGCAGGTGGAGACTGAGTACCCAAATGAGCCACAGGGACGTTAGAAAGAACTTTTTCAGTGTCAGAGTAATTTACAAGTGGAATGCATTAGGCAGTGATGTGGTGGAGGCTGACTCCATACACAGTTTAAATGTAGATATGATAGAACCCAGAAGGCTCAGGAATCTATACATCAATTGATTGACGGTTGAGAGGCTGGACCAAAGAGCCAGAGCTCATCCCCCACAAGCACAGCTAGGTGAGTACAACTAGGTAAGTACAGCTAGCGTATGCTCTTCACTATATTCTCCCAACAAGTGTGATGTCTTTTATACAACTTTACAGCCAATGTGATGTTCTCCGAACAATTTTATTGCCCTTCACGCTTCCTTTCCTATCAGTGTGATGCCCATAATTTACTTTATCTATAACAATTCAAATCTTTAGACGTTGTCTTGAGGGATGTGAAGTACGACAGTTCGCCAGAGGTAAATACACCTTGTATCATGAAATAACTGAGGCTTTTGGAATTTGCGCTTTGCATTTAATTCCCTTTAATTATAAAGATTTTACATTTTCTGACTATTTCCTAATCAAGAGATAAATATGTTATTACATAGTCACTAATTAATTAACACAATTGTAGCATGTGACAACATCTTGCTCAAATATTTTTATTTTTTATTTTTTTTTGAGATATATACAAGAGTTGTTACATTCTTGTACAGCCACTAGTACGCGTAGCGTTTCGGGCAGGTCCCTGGAATACGATCCCCGCCGCGAAGACTCGTTGTTACAACCAAGTACACATTTTACTGTTGAGTTAAACAGAGGCTACAGTTAAGGAATTGCGCCCAGTAAATCCTCCCCAGCCAGGGTACGAACCCATGACAAAGCGCTCGCGAAACGCCAGGCGAGTGTCTTACCACTACACTACGGAGATTATATATTAAATACACACTAATTCAGTTTTAGATCAATAATGATTTTTTTATGTTGACTTTAAAATACTCATAATTTTTATTGAATCTTATATTGAAGAAACTTAAAAATAATTAAACAAATTTGCAATAAAATTTCATAATAAACAAAATAAAAAAATAATTATAATTAAATTCTGCAAATCAAAGGCATTATAAGATTTTTTTATCTAGTTAGGTCGCAAGTTATAATATTTTATATTCGAATTTGTAAATAATTTCATTTTTTCTCCATTATAAGAAAAATGCTACATAGTGATGTACGAGATTAGAAATATGTATTCCAAGGGTTAAGAAAGCTATCTAGTTTAACATCTTTGTTATAATGAAACGTGTACATTTCAGCAATAATCATTCAAAAGCGAGATAACAAATACTGTTTTACTTACCAACAATGTCATTTATAGCTTTACACACGTCAGGATTTGGGTGATTTCTTTTCATTTCCTGAAATTTACTGTAGTATAAACTAGCGTCTCTCTTGTACCCATTTGTTTTCATTTGTGATGCGATGATATTAATGTCTTCCCTTACGATGATGTTCCGTTCAACTTTCCTCAGAAGGTTAATAAAATCCTCGGTCTCTACCTCAGGCATGGGTTGGCGTTTTGTCCTGATATTTCCCTTCCCTTCCCTTCCACTATGACCCTGTTCCTCAGACCACGGGTTGGACGCCATGTTGCCTTTAGTTGTCTCTTACAGTTTTGTATTTTTTTAATCTGAAAACAAAATGAAATGTATTAAAACAAATTCTATTTGAAATTTAATATATAAATAGTGAACTGGAATGATAAACTTCCAAATCTTATATAGGAGCTAGTGAGAAAATCAGGGGTGAAATAATAAGCTCTTGGACAGATTACCCAGTGTTTGGGCTGGATTAACCTATATTAAAAGTAATAGTTGCTACAGGCTCCATATATCCGAGGGCTTCTCACTAAATACTTGCAAGCGGTATTTTGACATAAAAGATTCCCATAGTCTAAGTTATGATAATGCCAGCAAAAAAAGTAAAAAATAATGGTTTACATGCACGAATTAAAGAGCTGATTGAGTATGCGGATGGCATTCCACGTTTTGCACATTCATTAAGTTTGGTTGTAAAATGTCCTGCTGAATGTTTTCATATTTTTTCTGCTTCTACTTTTCGGTGGGATTTCCTTGTTGCTGTACTAACTGGCATTGGTGCTAATTTGCCCATTGTAAAACGAATATCAGATACAAGGTGGTTAGTGCTTGCAGATCCAACAAAAACACTTTTACACAGCTTACTTGCAATAAAACACATTTTGGATGACGCTTGAAATAACAGTGATCAGAAGGCAAAGTGTCGACAAAAAGCTCGTGGATAACGACCAACCATGATGAAGATGGAAATATAAATACTGGTCATATTGTTGGATCAAATATTGTATCGTTTTCAAATGGTCAGTGTTCCCTTGCAATCTTCTTGCCAAGACTTGAACACAGCTTGTTCACTCTACGAATCCTTGCATGGATATATTCAAGGTATACGGTCTACTTTTTCAGACATTAAGCAAAAGCTGAGGATCTTCACACGACATTTGCTAAATCCAACATAAGAGGATTTCAGTGGTTTAAACACTTCAGTAGTTTTGATACAGAAATACTGCTACGGCCGACTCACTGAGAGAGAAGCACCTTCCCAGAATACCATGGTGAACCCACGCTCAGGACACAAATGTCCAAGATATGGGACCTCTATTAAACTTTTTTGGCTACCTAACCTAACCTAACCTATAAAGATAGGTTAGGTTAGGTTAGGTAGGGTTGGTTAGGTTCGGTCATATATCTACGTTAATTTTAACTCCAATAAAAATTTTTTTACCTCATACATAATGAAATGGGTAGCTTTATCATTTCATGAGAAAAAAATTAGAGAAAATATATTAATTCAGGAAAATTTGGCTTATTAGGCAAATCGGGCCTTGCATAGTAGGCCAAAAAGTGCGTTCTGGCTACTAGGTACGACATATATATATATATATATATATATATATATATATATATATATATATATATATATATATATATATATATATATATATATATATGTCGTACCTAGTAGCCAGAACGCACTTGTCAGCCAACTTTGCAAGGCCCGATTTGCCTAATAAGCCCAGTTTTCCTGAATTAATATATTTTCTCATTTTTTTTCTTATGAAATGATAAAGCTACCCATTTCATTATGTATGAGGTCAATTTTTTTTTATTGGAGTTAAAATTAACGTAGATATATGACCGAACCTAACCAACCCTACCTAACCTAACCTAACCTATCTTTATAGGTTAGGTTAGGTTAGGTAGCCGAAAAAGTTAAGTTAGGTTAGGTTAGGTAGTCGAAAAACAATTAATTCATGAAAACTTGGCTTATTAGGCAAATCGGGCCTTGCATAGTAGGCTGAGAAGTGCGTTCTGGCTACTAGGTACGACATATATATATATATATATATATATATATATATATATATATATATATATATATATATATATATATATATATATATATATATATATATATATATATATATATATATATATATATATATATATATATATAAAAAGCGGAAAATCCACAGAGAAATATGAAATGAGGTGAACGTTTCGGCTTTGTTAAAGCCTTTGTCAACACCAGACTGACCTCTAATTGGTCAGTCTGGTGTTGACAAAGGCTTTAACAAAGCCGAAACGTTCACCTCATTTCATATTTCTCTGTGGATTTTCCGCATAAAATGATCAGTGTTTTGTGATCGTCAATTGCATATATATAAATGTCGTACCTAGTAGCCAGAACGCGCTTTTCTGCCTACTATGCAAGGCCGAATTTGGCAAATAAGCCAAGTTTTCACGAATTAATTGTTTTTCGACTACCTAACCTACCTAACCTAACCTAACCTAACTTTTTCGGCTACCTAACCTAACCTAACCTAACCTATAAAGATAGGTTAGGTTAGGTTAGGTAGGGTTGGTTAAGTTCGGTCATATATCTACGTTAATTTTAACTCTAATAAAAAAAAATTACCTCATGCATAATGAAATGGGTAGCTTTATCATTTTATAAGAAAAAAATAGAAAAAATATATTAATTCAAGAAAACTTGGCTTATTAGGCAAATCGGGCCTTGCATAGTAGGCCGAGAAGTGCGTTCTATATATATATATATATATATATATATATATATATATATATATATATATATATATATATGTCGTACCTAGTAGCCAGAACGCACTTCTCAGCCTACTATTCAAGGCCCGATTTGCCTAATAAGCCTAGTTTTCGTGAATTAATTGTTTTTCGACTACCTAACCTACCTAACCTAACCTAACCTAGCTTTTTCGGCTACCTAACCTAACCTAACCCATAAAGATAGGTTAGGTTAGGTTAGGTAGGGTTGGTTAGGTTCGGTCATATATCTACGTTAATTTTAACTCCACTCTAAAAAAATTGACCTCATACATAATGAAATGGGTAGCTTTATCATTTCATAAGAACAAAATTTGAGAAAATATATTAATTCAGGAAAACTTGGCTTATTAGGCAAATCGGGCCCTGAATTGTAGGCTGAGAAGTGCGTTCTGGCTACTAGGTACGACATATATATATATATATATATATATATATATATATATATATATATATATATATATATATATATATATATATATATATATATGTCGTACCTAGTAGCCAGAACGCACTTCTCAGCCTACTATGCAAGGCCCGATTTGCTAATAAGCCAAGTTTTCATGAATTTATATATTTTCTCTAATTTTTTTTCTTATGAAATGATAAAGCTACCAATTTCATTACGTATGAGGTCAATTTTTTATAATTGGAGTTAAAATTAACGTAGATATATGACCGAACCTAACCAACCCTACCTAACCTAATTTAACCTATCTTTATAGGTTAGGCTAGGTTAGATAGCAGAAAAAGTTAGGTTAGGTTAGGTTAGGTAGGTTAGGTAGTCGAAAAAACATTAATTCATGAAAACTTGGCTTATTAGGCAAATCGGGCCTTGCATAGTAGGCTGAGAAGTGCGTTCTGGCTACTAGGTACGACATATATATATAAAACCTTGAAGAGGTACCACCTCTGGTGCAAGTGTAGGGATCCATAGCCTCGGAGAAGAAAATAAAGAGTACTTAGAGAAGACCTTGTGGATCCTCACTGAACACTTTGATATTTTCTTCTCCTACCACCCCTATTCTTTTGGAATGTGTGTATATTTATCTAACTTTATTTGAAAATGTCATTACACAAAAAAAGTTACAATATTGATTACATGCAGGGTACAAGGCTGCTTGTCACAAGTTGAACAGCTCCTCCAGCTCCTCAGATGGCGGGCAGGAACCATGGATGCAGTGAGCATTTCCTCTCTGGATTGCCACACTAAGGCGCTGAAAAAGAAAACTGGCAGCTCTAGGGTCTCTAGTTGTTTCGATTAGCTTAGACCCCAACTCCTTCAAAAAGCTAGCAGCACTTTTACCCCAGGCACCAAGTGTCTCTGAGGCAATGGGGACAAAATTGTAGTGGTGCTCAATCTCTGTATTTACGTGACTTGGCCGCTTCCCGGTGATTGGCAGCTCCTCCAGCTTGTGTAGCACTGAAGTCAACATAGGTATTGGCTAAAGTTGAAACGCAAGTGTAGTCCCGCACCAACTGTCTACCATTCTTCCAGGGGTTCACCGTAATTCCGTCTGGGTGACCGACAGGCTCATCAGAGTTGCAGGATATTAGGTAACGGGGCTCTCTCTCTGCTGGACAACCGGCTGTGGTAAGGCTTGTCTTAATAATGTCATTGACCTCGCCGTGTCTTGCATGCCATCCTCCTGTCTTTTGGCAGAGAAGGCCATGCCATCCATACCTGTCGGCCTCTGCCTCGCCACAAATACACCTGTATTCGGTGTAGATTGGGGCAGCGAGGCGGAGAGCCACGGCAATTCGGCGGGCCTGCGGTATGAGACGGGTGCCGGTTGCTGACGTTGGGGTTGCTAATAGTAAATCACCTGCATGGGGAGTTGCTACAGCTCTAAGTCAGGCAGTGTCATGTGGTGTTGTCGCAGCTTCTAGTAAAGTCGCAGCTTCTTGGTCGGCAATGGGGCGATCCCAGCTGGATTGCTTATGGGCTTCAGAAGGCGGTGGTTGAGGTGCTGGTCCTGCGAGAGAGACCCATTTGGTTGTGCAGTCTGTGAAGCTGGGATCATGTACCCCTGCCTGTTCAACTAGGTGCTCAGGTAGGATTTCCTTCACCAAGTTGCCAAACGCCACTGAAGAGGACAGGAACGTTGGTACAGCAATTTGTATTGCTGAGCGCACGCCAAGGCCCCCGAGTCTGACAGGAAGGGAGGCCTGTTTCCACTGTGGGTCGCTGAGGGAAAGATTGAGGGCTTTTTCTACTGTTGATTTCAGCAAGCTGTCGTACTCTTCTAATTTAATATTGTTGAAAATGGCGAACATCTTAGAAAGTAGGTCAGCCTGGGGAGGGACACGCATCGGGTGATCAGGTAAAGGTCAGACCATTTGGGAACACATTAATATTGCTTGCAGGACAATTCATTCAAACATTTCCTGTAATTCCTCGATTGACACCAGCGGACGAAATAAATACTGGCCTAAAATACTCTACTTTGTGGCGCCACGTAAAGATGTTAAAATTTACTACAAATATGCGTGTCCAACTGCAAAACGACTC